GGAGAAATCTTAACTAATAATTAAAAATATTTTTAATTATAAATAAGAGTACTAATAAACTATTATAATAAGAACTTAGAATTTATTAAAGAAACTAAAAAGCTTAATAAAAAGAAGAATTTAAAGATAATTTATCTTAAACTTATTTAATTAATTTAATTAGATAACCTTAGGAAAGTTTTATTATTAAACTAGGATATAGATTAAAAAAAAGATAAGTTAATAACTTATAAAAAACCTTAGTCTAGGAAATAAGCTATAACTTAAGAAATATAAGGCTAAGTAAGAATTAAAGTAGTATTTATAAAGGAACTAAAATATTTATAATTAAGATACTAATAACTATAAAAAGTTAAATTACTTTATAATAGAATATAAGAAGATAAAAGGCTATTTTAGTATTAAAAGTACTTTTTTTACTTTAAGTTAATATAATTCTTATATACTAGTTAAAAGTACTATAAATAAGTTAAGCCTAAATTATTTACTAATACTAAAGTATTAGGTTATTAACTTATAAATTTATTAAGAATTAGGAAATAAGGTAAGTTAATAAGTAAAAACTAGGAAAGGACTAAGGTATTCTTTTATAAAGAAACTAGAAGTATACTAGGGATTATAAGGTAAATAAACTATAAGAGCCTAACTCTTTTAATAGAATATAAAGTAACTAGTATAAAGATAATATCTTATAATAAGCTACTTTTATTTTAAGAACCTAAATATATTACTTTAAAATACTTATAATTATAACTCTAGTAAAAGTCTATATTAACCTATAGTATTAAAATACTAAATAAATAGTCTATAATAAGTTATAATAATAAAATATATTATATTAAAATAAAATAAATAGGTAAAGATTAAAGTATTATTAACTTTAGTAATATTAAGAAATTATAAATTAGGAGGCTAGTAATTATAAAAATAAAAGATAAGGTTATTACTTACTTTTATAATCTTTTTAGTAAAATATAACTAATTAAAGTTATTAAAACTACTTTAAGAAATATTATCTTTAGTTTAATTATTAAAGTCTTAATAAAACTATTAACTTTTAATTATAATAATACTTATATTATTTAATAATATAAAAATATAAAAAGTATATAAAAGAGAGTTATTTATTATAATAAGAGATATTATTATTTTTAGTAATAACTTAATTAATATAACTAAAAAACCTAGATTCTTAAAGAGAGAAGGAGAGGGTTAGGAGGCTAAAAGGAAATAGTATATTTCTAAAAAAGGAAAATAAGCTAGACTAACTATAGTAAGTAGAAGCTAATAGCTAAAAATAGTTAATAAGGATTTTATTAGCTTAAATTTAAACTTTTTTAAGATTACTAATAGGAAAAATCTTCTTATAATATTAATCTAAGCTAATCTTTAACTAAAAATAGTCTTAAAAGATAAATTTAATAAGAATAATACTATTAACTTCTTATAAAGACTAAATAGCTAGTTTAATATTTAAGATATTTTAAATACTTATTAAGTTAAAAAACTACTAAAAGTTATTATATAATATATTATAGAAGAAATAAAGTACCTTATATATAGTTATAACTAGAAGAAGATAAAAAAGTACTTTATTAATTATTACTTTAAGTATAATACTAAAGAAAGATATAACTTATAGATTAGGTTATTAAGGTATAATAGAATACCTTTAGCTAATAATTATTATATAGTAAGTAAATAGTTTATTAAATATAAGTATTTTTATAG